ATCGTTCGTGCTCTTTCGTCGGAGAGCCCCAATCATCCTGATTAGGGGCTGAAACTGCCTTGGAGGGGCAGCGGAGTAAGAGGAAGCAACAAGCCTGTTTGTGGGGAGCCGCATCTCCCCCCCCCCGGGCTTGTTTTTTTTTCCTCCCGAAGACGACTGCAGCGATGGTCTAAAATGGCCATCCCGAAGAGGATGACTCAGCTTGACTAAGATTTGTGCAGGAGGGAAGAAAGAGGTGGATAACATCTGAACCGGGACAACTGGGCAACATAACCAAATAAAAGTACCCCGGGATTAAGGTAACATAGAACTTTTAAGAAAAGAAACGTGAGCGGCGAAATTACAAAGAGACAGAGAAAAAAAGGAAAATATTTTTGTCAGCTAAATGGGGCTTCGAACCGGGAAAGGAAGAAGCTGGAATTAAAGATTTTATGAAATTGGACTAAAATAATTTGGGAATAATCAAGTATAAAATTAAAGCTGGACTTAAGATTGTTAAAGAATAATAATAATAAAGTTTACAAATTGGAGACTGGATTGTGTTGGAATATTGAGGTTCGAAAAACCTTAAATAAAAATACAGGGGGGAAAAAGTGAAGACTTCGTATAATGGAGAGTGTCACCTTTTGATAAAAATTTAGTTCAAATAAAAAGGAAAACATTTTGTTTTTGAATGAACTGATATGGATATAACATTACAGAAATATTGAAACAAAGTAAGAATTTTGGAAAGTGAAAGCAGAACCAGAATAAAGGAAAAAGTAAGGAAGGAAAGATTGTTTGTGGGACTGATTGATGTTTTTGGTTTAGACCCTGGACTGGAATAGCTGAGAACTTTAAAAAATTGAAAGAAGAAAGAAGGAAAGTAAAAGTGGTTTCTTTTTGTGGACTTTAAGGATCATAAAATATAAGAATGATGATATCTCTCTGGGATTTAAAAATGGAACTTAAAAATATGAGAGAATTACTACAGGAAAGAGGCGAATCACTTTGCTCTGTGCTAGAAAAAATGGAAATGGCGATTGAAGAACAAGAAGAAAGATTCTCAGAGGAGCAGGAATTGACTCAAGAAGAAGACATTTTGAATGGACAATTAACACAAAGAACGTTACAAAGAAGTGGGGAAAGAAGGAAGGTTAAAAAGTTGAATTTCAGGAAAGCAATTAAAAAGGGGAATAATTGTGAAGTTAGGAGATGCAGGAAGATTCAGCAGAAAAGGGGAAGGGAAGATATTAAGGAGATAAATTGGAATGAGAAAAGTTATGGGGAAAAGAGAGGGAGGAGAAGCAGTAAGAAACACGCATGTGAAGGGGAGAAACACAGAACTGGTAAAATGTTGAAAGGAAATTGTTTCTTTACAATTAAAAGAAGGAATACTTGTGAAGTCAGGAAATGCAGAAAGAATGAGAAAAGACATGGGCAAGAGAGGGGGAGGAGAAGCAGTGGGAAACACGCGTGTGAAAGAGAGAAACACAGAACTAGTAAAATGTTGAAAAGAAATTGCCTTTTCAGAGATAATGGTTGATGAATTAAGGGGGGGATTCTGCAGGGTGACAAGGGGTAATAAGAATATTTCTGCAATTAAAAATATTTAGAAAATAGTTTAATATAGATACTGATAACTCTTATTAAAGGGGGGGAAATATGCTGTGGAATCCAATTGAGAAGATGTAATGACTAATGGTTTATTGGGAATTAAGATGAGGGAATAAAGGTATATTCTAATCATTAAGGTGGAACACTTAAAATAGTAAAAGGGGAAACTTATACTTGTTCTTTTTTCTTTTTGTGTGGGTGTGTTAAGATCTGTATTAATTTAGAATTTATAAAAAAAAAGTGTAATGGAAAGGGAATGTGACAGACTAAAGAACCAGCTAAATTAATAAGCTTAATAAGTTTAATATAGATTATTAAAAGTAAGGAGAGACATTGAACTTCATTATTACCATTATTAGGCAAATATATATTGTTTATTTTTATTTTTAAAATAAATATTAAGGATTATACTTGAAATAATTGAAATGAAATTTAAAAATGTTTAGATTGGGATTAATGAAAGAACTTAGAATTAAACCTTATTATTATTTATTAGGCAAATATATATTGTTTAGCTTTACGTTTAAAAATAAATATTAAAGGATTATATTTGAAATAATTGAAATGAAACAAAATTGATTGAAATTAATGAAAGAGGCTAGAATTAATGTGTTTGTTTCTCTCCTTACTGAAAATTTGGAATGGAAAAGGTAATAATAGAATTAAGTATGCATATATCAATGTATAATTTCTGTCATATTTGTATGTAAAGATGATGACCCGGAAATATGTTGTCCACTAAAAAGAGATTTTTGTTTTTAATGTGAAAACTGAATAAAGTCTGTTTAAAAAAAAAAAAGAAGCTCAAACGTCTATTCTCAGCAGAACCAGTCCTTAAGCACCCAGATCCTGCACTACCTTTTGTCATCCAAGCAGATGCCAGTGATGTTGCAGTTGGAGCAGTCCTCCTCCAAAAGAATGGAAGTGAACAATTACAACAATGCGCTAATACATCCAAGAAACTGATGGAAACTGAGCAAAGATGGGCCATATGGGAGAAAGAGGCATATGTTGTGCGGTGGGCAATGCTCACATGGAGACATTTCCTGGAAGGAAACCAAACCTCCTTTGAAGTGTGGACTGATCACAAAATCTGGAAGCCCTGAAAAATCCACGGAAACTCTCAGAAAAACAAACAAGGTGGGCTCAATATTTTAAACGTTTTAATTTCACTCTCAAATATTTTCCTGGGAAAAAGAACTTCTTAGCAGATGCACTGTCCAGAAAACCCCAATACAACAGCAAAAAGATTGAGGTTATAAAACCGATGATCCAACTGACCCAACTAGCAGCCAAAGTAATCACCAAGGCACAAGAGGAAAAAAAATCATCCCTGACTGAAGACACAATGACGTCAATATTTAAGGAGGCACTACTTAAGGACGATTGGCTCCAGGCTAACAAAAACACTTGTTTACTCAAAGATGGACTGGCTTGGGTAGAGAACAAACTTTATGTCCCTGCAAGCCAGAGAATGGACCTCATGAAACGCTGCCACGACTCCAAAATAGCGGGACACTTTGGATTTGTAAAAACTCTGCACTTCATCAACAGACAATTTTGGTGGCCGTCCCTCCAAAAGGACATTGAAAACTATGTTGCGAGCTGCCCACCTGGGCTGCTGCAAAGAGAAGACAAGGAAAATATCCTGGACTTTTACAAACAGTAGCAGACCCTTCTGCTCCCTGGAAAGACTTTATGGACTTTATAGTGGAGCTTCCCGAAAGTGCTGGAAATACTGTCATTTGGGTTGTAACTGATCTTTTTTCCAAACAGGTTCACTTTATTCCATGCCAAAAGATCCCAACTGCCAAGGCATTGGCAAAAATGTTCCTAATACACATTTATCGCCTTCATGGAGCCCCCCCAATGGATTATCTCAGATAGGGGTGTTCAGTTCACATCCAAATTTTGGCGGATGTTTTTAAACCTATTAGGCTCCACCCAGGGGTTGTCGTCAGGAAATAACCCCCAGACTGATGGATCGATAGAGAGAGTGAGCAGCGTATTAGAACAATATTTAAGATGTTTTATCCAACAGGACAATTGGACTGATCTTCCTTTTGCAGAGGTAGCATACAATAACTCAGTCCATAGTAGCACAGGGTTCACTCCATTCCAGGTAGCCACGGGCCAAGAATTCAACCCCATGCTGGAACTACCCACCAAAGAACCTGAAATCCCCTCCCTTAAGGAGTGGATGGATAACTTACAAGCCATGTGGCCAGTGATAATATTATCTTTACAGGAAGCTAGAGCAGTTTTCAAAACTCAAGCAGACAAAAAATGTTGCGCACCTAAACCTTTCAAGATTGGGGACCGTGTATATTTGTCCACAAAATTCTTAAAATCATTACAACCCTCTAAGAAATTAGCACCAAAATTCATTGGCCCATTCCCCATCTCCAGAATTATTAACCCTGTAATGGTAGAGCTTTGACTTCCAAAAACACTTAGACAGATTCATCCAGTATTTCACTGTAGCTTGATCAAACCAGAGATCACTTCAAACCTCAGACACCCCCTTCCCACACCTCCAACCCCCATCATGGTACATGGGGAACAACATTTTGAAATTAAAGATATCCTTGATTCACGCACTCACTGTGGATCCACACAATATTTAGTAGCTTGGAAACACCTTCCTTCCTCAGAAAACAAGGGGGTAGCCAAACAGCATGTAAAAGCACCCACATTACTATGAAAGTTCCACCTAAAATACCCTGATAAACCATCCTGAATTGCAAATGTAATGCATGATTTTTGTTTTTTCCAGGTAGACCTATCTGTTTTTTAAGGAGGGCAGGATGTCAGATCCGTGTATCTGTCATTTCTTCATCTGTGGAAGAAGAAAAAGGGGGAGGGAGAATGATAAAGAAATCCTTTCTTGATGTAACCTGAATATATTTAATCTTATATCAAATTTGTATAACCCACACATGATACAATGGAGGGAGAAAAGCCAGATGGCCCTCCTAACAAAAGGGGTGGGGAGGAATTAACATACTGGCTTTTGTTTCACTAAATACACATCAAGATAAGGGGAGGGGTTGTAAACTCCCTTATGTATCCCTGTATGCCTGAGAGACCTCAGACGCTGCTTTGAACTCCTACATGAATTGTCTCACCTCAATAAAGGATTCCTTTTTGATACATTTTGATACGTTTTCAGAAGTTCATTCTAGTTGAGTGAATGGGAAAAGTTCTGTAGCCTGACAGAATTACAGCGGAATGGCTTGAACAAATGACTTGACTGATACAAATCTTTCCCAAGTCAGCTTTCACTGTATGTAGTCACAGGAGGATCTTGGGTCTTTTAGTTTTCTCATAGCCAGTAAGTTGGGTGTGCTTGGGTAGATCTGATATTCTTCGTGCCATGTGAATTGTTGCTCTTGCTTTTACAGCAGGGAGAAGAGACTAGCAATTCTGTTCCAGCAGGGTCACTGCCTTTCCCTACTGTGGCAGCTCTTCAATCTGGATGTAGCCAGAAATAAGAAAACGTTTACCCGTTTGGCAGCCCTCATGCAGGTGAACTGTGCAGAGGAGTCTCAAGATGAATCTCAGGTATACTTAGATGTCTTTTCTGCCCTTGCAGACTATTGCCATTCTTTTTTTTTTTTCTGTATACTATAGAGAGAAAACTGGTATCAAATGATACCTGACAATTCATGCTGTAGATAATTTTGTGTGGATTAGCACTCTCAGGGTTTGGTCAATTGTTCTTTGGGTACTCTGTCCAATTTGATGTATAATGTATAATGATGATAATTAAAAATCATACATTTAATGCAGCTGTCAAGTGCAAGGATTCTTGTGCACATTAATAACTGTAATACAGAAAAAAAGTACTCGGGTACTATCTAAACCAGTGGTCGCCAACCTTTTGGACCTCAGGGACCACCAAACTCATAATTTTAAATCCCAGGACCACTAACCGGTTCTATAGGCATGGCCTAATTTGTGGGTGTGGCTTGGTGGTCATGTGACTGGCTCGGCAAGGCTTGTATGTAAATATTATAAATATTTATATAAATATTGAATTTTTTTATTAAAAAAGAGCAACTTTTACCCAAAATCAGGCAAAGCAGGCAGGCAGATTGAGTTGCTCACAGAATCGCAGATTCATTCAGAAAACTATCTATCTGCCATCGGCTAGCTCAGTCTGTTGCATAAAATTTGCTTGCAAGCAAACTCACAAAATTAACTCACAACACACAATGATTGTAAATATTGATTTTTTTTATAAAAAAGAGCAACTTTTACCCAAAAACAGGCAAAGCAGGCAGGCAGATTGAGTTGCTCACAGAATCATTCAGTGATCTATCTGCCATCGGCTAGCTCAGTCTGTCACATAAAATTTGCTTGCCATAAGTCTGCACTGAATAATAGAACCTTCAGTCCTAAGGAGGTTCAGTTGTGCTTAAAAGCAGAGCCGAAGATCTAAAGATTAGCTAAAAAACAAGAAATGCAACCATTTCCTGCTTCCTATCTAATCTAAATCTCCCGGCACAGCAGAACAGCTGATGGTTGGGGGGAAAAAAAGAAAAATAGCAACTTAGCAGGCAAGTTTGCCGGGTAAGGAGTGAACAGTTCCCGTGGGCCCTGTGGGTGGTGCACCCTTGTGTTTCTGCACAGCCTGGATTAATTGCTTTGGGGGGGTGCTCTGGGGGTGAGATTTCTCTGCGGCCCACCAAAATTTTCTCACAGCCCACCAGTAGGCTGCAGCCCACCGGTTGGTGACCGCTGATCTAAACTACTGTAAGTAATGGAAATAAACAGGTTTAAATTCAGATACGTATAGTAACTTACACTGGTTTGCTGTGGATGACATTACTGCACTAGTAATTAATTCTTGATTTTCTCATTATCTCACATTCTAACATTAATTTACTGCCATAAATTTATTACTTAGGTTAAAAAGTTTTACCTTGTTTTCTAAATAAAATTTTAAATAAAAAGAAACATAGTATAAAGAAAAATAAGAAAAAGAAATATGGGAAGAAGCAGCCACAATAAAACTAAACTCTGACTTCACAACTTTAGAAAAAAGGCAGCAATGTTGATATCATCCAAATATATATTGAAAAAAGGTGCCACAGTTATATTCCCTAATGTTCAATGCTTTGTTTGCTCATCTGAATGTATTATGTAAGACAAAGGATATTAAGACCATTGATACAATCTGATACTATAAATGCTTTACTGTGGGGATAGTGGGGTTTTTAAGTTTTTTGAAAATTCAACCATTTGTTTGATGCAAATTAATAAGATACTAGAATTCACAGGAAAAAAACAACATTGAGAAGTCCAGCAAAGTTATGTATACACTATTCTCATTTCAAAGATCATCTTCCAGAACTATTATTACCAATTTTGGCCTTCAAATTGGAGTGAGTGCCAAATTGAAAAAGTTCGAGGAAAGGTCCTGCAAGTTTCCAACTAAAGCAATACTAGATTCTTTCCACTAAAATATTCTTAGTAGGTGCCAAAGTTCATTTGTGCCTTTATTTGTAATATCATAGATAATCTCATCCTATATGGATTTCTCCCTCTGCTATCAAATGATGGGTTGCCAACATGAATGGATGAAGTATGAGTTAATGGCCATCAAACGTAGTTCTCATCTTCAAGTTGTTGGAGGAGGGTTACTGACAATTGCTAAATTAGCATCATCATTGGCTTACATGAAGCTTTGTTTGGGGAACATGCTTTTAGCCATCCAACTGGGTAAGTTAGTTTGACAGTTTCTAATGCAGCAATTCTTGAGCTCAAAAGTAGGCAGATATTTTTGGACTGCTTTTTTTTTAGGTTATCGTGCACACGAGTTATATGAGCAACTGAAGATGCCTAACCTTGACGCTAATGTGCTCCATGACATTTTCAAAGCTCTTTATCTCAGCACCAGGTACTTGGTTGTATCTTTCTTTCTTTCTTTCTTTCTTTCTTTCTTTCTTTCTTTCTTTCTTTCTTTCTTTCTTTCTTTCTTTCTTTTCTTTTCTTTTCTTTTCTTTTCTTTTCTTTCTTTTTTTTTACAAAAAAAAGTGACTTTCAGAATAACAGAGTTGGATGGGAACTTGGAAATCATCTAGTCCAGTAGTCCCCAACCATTTTGGCTTGGCAGCCTGGCGAGGGAGAGGGGATAGTTCCCTGTGAGTAGTAGGTGTGTGTGTGCGCAAGTGTGCATGCTTCATTTGTGTGAGTGGCGGGTGTATGCACCTGCTGCTCCCACAAAGAGAGCTTCACACATGAGTACAGTGGTTGCCACTTCAGCGAAGGGAGCTTCATGCATGTGCTCGCCCGCTGGTTTAGGTTTTAATGATAATTGAATCTAAATTGAATTAAACAAAGCCAATGTAGTCTAACACTGCATCAACAGAGGAATACTATGAAGATTATGTGAAGTACCATTTTATACTGTGCTGGTGAGGCTGCCCTTGGAATACTGCATTCAGTTCTAGTCAGCATAATTAAAAAAAAATCACAATACAAAAAAAAAGCGATGGGCAGAAGCTTATTCTGAGAAATGTTCCTGACAGTGAGAACAATTAATCAGTGAAATATCTTGGTATCCCGAGTTATGTGTGCTCTCATTGCTGAATGTTTTCAGAAAAGATTGGACAACCATTTGATCAGGATACTATAAAGTCTCCTTCCTTAAGCAGCGGCTTGAACTAGAAGATCTCCAAGGTTTCTTGCAGCACTATGTGTTCTATATTAGCATACTCCAAATACACGTATCCGATTGGTCCACACAAACTAGAAGGTGATTGGGTAACTGAACTGCCGTGATTGGCTCATTATGAATCAACCGCGATTGGCCGGGCTGATCGTGGGAGATTCAAAGAGCTGTCATTGGCTGGCGAGCTGCGAGCAATCCCTATATGAAGGCCTGCTGCGTCTCCAAGATCTTGTACCGATCTATACATCTAAATAAAGAGCTGAAATGTCACTTTGGTCTCGAGTCTCTCTTTCCATGATCTAACACTATGATTCTATGATTTTTTGGAAACAGAAACTAACCATACAGATTGGATCCATATAAGATGATAAATTTTTATTCAGTTTGTGAGTCTGTAGTCTAATGAAATCTGTAAATACAATATTAACAAGATAACAGAGTTGGAAAGGACCTCGGAGGTCTTCTAGTCCAACCCCCTGCAGGATACCATTAGTATCCTTTCTCTAGTTCTAGAGCAGCCAGGACCTGGTTAGATAACCATATGTGTCCCCCCTCTTTCCTCCTTCATAATTCTTGCTGCAAATCCAAAATTGAGATTTGTTTTGTGGGAAAGGCACATAAGTCACCAAAGTCATCATTGCCCAAAAGATACTCATGCAATCAAAAATCAAGGTTAAATCCATGTGAATGAAATCATACAACCATTTCTCCATTCCAATTAAAAAGGACACATATACCCATTTCTGATGTGGCCTTGAAATTTTGTCTGCTTTGGTCCCAGTAAGGGCAGCATTTTGCACATCTCCCACTGATAATATCCCCCAAAATGATAGGTTTTCTGAAAAGTAATTTACAAATAACTTAACAAGCAACAGGACATAGTTTTTACTTGATTAGCAGAGTCTATTTACAGAATATAAAATAATTGAGTTGGAAGGGACCTTGAAGGTCTTCTAATCTAACCCTTTGCTCCAGCAGGACACCCTATATCCATTCTGGAGAAATAGCTGTCCTATCTCTCTTTTAATACTTCCTGTGATGGAACACCCACTTCTGGAGACAAGCCAGTTGACTGATTAACAGGAAATTTCTCCTTAATTCTTGGTAGGACCACTCTGATAAGCTTCCTTATGTTATTTCTTGCCTTGCCTTCAGGTGCTTTGAAGAGTAGGTTGACCCCCCCCTCTTATCTGTGACAGTTTCCCAAGTATTGAAAGACTACTATCATGTCACTCCAGTTCTTCTTTTCATGAAATCAAACATACTCAGTTGCTATACCCAGACTGCAAGTTTTGTCTTCCAGTCCCCTAATCATCTTTGTTGCTCCTCTTTGCATTCTTTCTAGAGTTTTATATCATGGTGACCAAAACTGGATGCAGTATTCTAAGTGTGGTCTTACCAGTGCAATATAAATCATTACTAACACTTGATTTTTATTTTTATTATTATTGTTATTATTTCTTTTATTCATTAAACATGAAACTCAGCCACCTGAACATTTAAAAATGTATCACAAATATCATTGACTGGTACTGGTTGATATGGGTTGCTGTCAGCATCCTAGATATCAGCCAAATATCTTCTTAAAATGTACAATGTTCTCAGTAGCGCAGTTTTTTGCAGTTCTGCTGGTGTTATTGCAGGAAGCTACAATTTCTTCATATATTTTGTAAAACTCTTGAACATGGTACCTAGTGCCCTGATGATAATGGGTATCATTGTTGTTAGGAATGTAAGTCACCTAACAGTTGGGTTGGAAATATATAAATCAGGATAGACATTTTAATACTGTCTCTTTAAGGGAATGCTACAATTGTAATTGGGTGTGGTTCCTCAAACGGCCATAAGATGGAGCCAGAAACCTGGTGTCAGACTGCTCCCTCTAAATCCCAAGAAAGAAACACTCAGACTCCATGGTGTAGAGCAGAATTATTCTTTTACTGGAAAGTGATGTGGTAGCAACAGAATCAATTCCGAAACTGAGAAACTGGCGGGCAAAACACATACACAAAAGGATATAATTGCTCCCCCCCTCCAAAGATCAAATGATTCTTCCAATTAAAACTTCTGAATAAGATCATGTGGTCATCTCCAGGTGATGATGAGGCTACTGTCAGTGACCTTGACATATTTTGATAAAAGTTCGCAGTTGCGCAGAAAAGGACAGAGGCTAGCGAAGAAATGGAAAGTTAAAGAAAAGAATCCCCCCTCCCCTTCTTAACCCAGCAAAGGAATGCAAAACACCTCCTGCCTTCTTCCCCTCCAAGATTCCCCCCTCCCACCGTTTCATGACAGCCGAAAGAGAAAAATGGCATAGCAACAAATAAGGAATAGAGAGGGGTGAAGATATCTTGAGGCGGACACCTGGTTTCCCAGAGAGTGTTTTGGTTCCTGCATTTTTCCCTATTGACTGTTACTGATCGTCGTTATTCTTGGATTTGATGTAAGTCTGTTACTGAACTGTTTATGATACTGGACTTTGTTATTTGGATTATCCCTGGACTGAATACTGACTGCTATAACTGTGTATGACTTGGACTGTTTGTTGGACTTTGCTTAACCATTTACTGGAAGTAAAAACCTACATTTTACTATACAGTGTATCTGTGTGCTGGTTGTGTGTTATTCTTCACCACTCTCACTACGTCTCCCTGTGTGCACTCATTCTCCTAACGGGGAATTACCTCAACACTGGTTATGGGCCCAGGCCATACCAGGCTCAGATAAGTGAGAGTTAGTGTGAATGCACAATACCGTATACAGACAGCTGTTTACTGTTTAATTGTGGGTTACTGTCCTGGTAAAGATGGCACAAGACCCGTCAACAAGTCTATCACTGATAACCAGGTTGGATGGAACAAGCTATGTTTCCTGGTCTATGATGTGCAGTCTACTTCTGCGTAGAGAAGGATTATGGAATGCAGTTCAGGATCCACCGGATGTAAATGCTTGGGATCCAGAAAATGAGGACAATGCCAAGAAGTTAGCTGACTTTAAACGGAATAACGAATGAGCTCTTTGTTCATTCATTTGGACTAACACTGAGTGACCAGCAGCTAGTCCATATTCACAAAGAAGAGTCTGCTGCTAGGTGTTGGGAGAATTTGAAGAGGATTTATGTTCATAACAGTTTAGGTGCACACATACATCTTACACATAAACTGTTTAGAGCACGTCTTCTGAAAGGTGGAGATATGTTAGCTCATTTGAACTTTTCAAGAGCTACATGAAAAGTAACTGATATTTTCAGAGTTGCATCAAGTTTACATCATTCTTTCCTCATTGGATGAAAATTATGATTACGAATCTTCACTGGAAGTTGAACACAAGATGAACTGACATTGACTGACATAACCGGAAGGTTGTTAGAAGAAGCAACAAGACGACTGGATAGGGACCAACTGAGGAAGGAACAACCACAAGAAGAAGATTTGTGTTCAACTGCCTATACTGTTAGGAAATGTTCTTGTGGGGCTAGGGGACATATAGCTAGATTCTGTAAGAAGGGAAAATGACAGAATACTGGTAATCACCAGAAGGTTAAGAAGAATGTTAATTTAGCTATGTCTAGCAATTCAACTGTAAACCATGATTTGTGGGTTGTTGATAGCGGAGCATCGCAATGCATTACTAAAAATAGAGAGAGGTTTGTAACGATGTGTACGAGTAAGCAACATGTATCATTGGCAAATGGATGGAAGATGAAAGCATCTGGTGAAGGTACTGCATATTGTTCATGTATAAATGAGCATTTAACTGTGTTATATGTACCTAAACTGAAATTTAATTTGTTATCAGTAAGTGCTTTAGTTAATATTGGTTATGTAGTAACCTTTAGGGGAGATAACTGTATAATAGAGAAAGAGGGTAAAAGTGTTACTGCTACTTTAGAGAATGATTTATATGTGATACATGATGGCCAGTTGCAGATGGCTAACTCAGTTTATAACAATGTTAAACCACATGACGAATGTATACATTTACTGCATAGACGTCTAGGGCACATTAATTTCAAAATGCTCAAACAAACTGTTGAATTGTCAGAGGGAGTAAAATTAAAACCCTGTAGCAAGTATTTAAACTGTAATGCCTGTAATCAAGAGAAAAGCAAGGTTATTCCAGCAAACAGACTGAATGGGTTTAAGACCAAAGAACCTTTAGAGGTTGTTTTTGCTGACATAATTGGTCCTAAAAAACCCAGTTTGGGAGGTGCCTGCTATATTTTG